TACTTAAGCTTTCTAAAGGAACATTAAAGATGTGTAAGAAAGCTAACTTCACTAGAATTATGATGTTTTTAGCTTATGTAAAATATAGAAGAAACAAATCGACTTTTCAATACTCCTAAAACCTTCGCAGTACCTTATTTAGTATTTTACAAAAGGTTTAGGTGCAATATACCAAGTCATTTTTGTTGTAGGCTGGCAAAAGAATAATAACAAGAAGAAGAATTACAAACAGGTCATTTTGAGCGGATTTTCTTTTCCTTGCAAGTTTAACATGAGTGTTTTTTTGAGCATTTTTCTATGTGTACACCCTTAGCAGTCAATTGTTTGTTTGTTTTGAATTTTCGAGCAAAGCTACACGAGGGCTATCTGCGCTAGCCGTACCTAATTTTGCAGTGTAAAACAGTCAATAGTAAAGGTTTTAACATTTTGTTTGAACTGAATCTTTACTGTTTAAGGTGTTTTTCGCCCTAACGTTCTTTAAGGGTTTTGTGCAATTTCTTGAGATCTTTATTATGATAGAGAAATAAAAATAAAGGAATTTTTCATATTTCAAATAATACATTCTAAAGTTGAAGGTTCAATTTTATATCAAAACCACGACAAATAATATGGTTTATGTCTTTGATGAGTGGTTTCCATGCAGTATTGAGTAGTTGTTGACCATTGTTTTGATTAACTCACTGGTGATCCAATGTCTTGTACTTGGATGGTAATAGCTTATTTGATTTTTTTTCGTATGGTGTTTTCTTATGTAGATATTATTTTTGTACTTTTAGGCCTATCATATGGTCATAGCAAAGTTCTTAATATCTCTTTGGTGTTATTTGAACTGTAACTGGCATTATGTTTCCCCAATGTATTGTTTATTACACTCACACCAAATGCTATAAACAACGTTCTTTGTGAGAGGACTCGGAACTGGGATTTTACCTTCATAATACTGTCGCATAATGTAGGAGGACTTAAGAAAACTACGGTAATGTTAAGTTTATTCATTATCCTACGAATTTTTTCTCCTAGGTCTGGTATATATGGACGAAATGCTTTTTTCTCCTTTCGTTGTGATTGTCAAGTTGTGGTTCATTAGTAGTTGAAACAAGTTAAACATATAACACACGTTGAATCGTTTTCTTTGGTTAACCGTTAATCCATAAGTTCTTAATCTAAGTAAAACGAGGAGCATATATTTGTAGCCCTAGATCTTAGTGTTTTAGTAATCCCAGTTTTGACAGCTATTGTATGGCATAAACGAAAATATAGATAATTATTTGTTTGAGTCTTCTTCCAGTAAACATTAGTGGTCAACTTTTCTAAACTCGTGTCCTTGTGACCAGAACATAGAGAAATGGAAGACGTTAAGTACCATGGAAAATTGTATGCTGTTAAATTAGCTGTTCAGGTGAGCACGAAATATTTTGAGTTCTTCCTTTGCATGGGTCCATAAAATAAACGTATCATCAACATATCTTACCCAAATACGAGGTTGATGAAGATATGATGTTAAAATGGTATGTTCAAAATTCTGCATGAATATTTCTGCTACTACAGTTGATAAAGGTGAACCCATTGGAGAATCATCTAAAACAGAGGTTTCCAGACTTTTGGTAATCACGGACCAGTAAAATTCCCAGTACAATATCTGTTAATTAAATAAATAAAATAATACGATATTCACAAAACAAACAGAAAATTTATTTCGAAAACAAAAAAGAAAAGGTAGAATTAGGCGTATTTTAGTCATCAAATATGGAAAGAAACGTAAGTAAGTGATAGAGCTTTCAACAGCCATGACACCTTGTGGACCGGTGGAAATTAAGTCAAGGACCGGTGTTTGGGAAACACTGGTCTAACATACTGTAAAATCGGCCATTCCAATGGAATTAATTTGCATCGAGACAGATGTCCAGTAAAATCATGATGTTTGGGATGCTGATAGATGTTCTTGTTGGAAGTGAGATGTCACCACTTACTCGTTTGTATATTATTTCCATGGTATCATTAGCAGGAATCTTGTTGAAATGTGAAACTACGTCGAGGGTAGCCATAATATCATCTATGGATATTATTTGGTCAGAAATATGGTTAACGAATCT